GTCTCCTCAACAATTTACAAACGGGGGAGAGCAGTCTTCGCGACGAACAACAATGCAACGGGCTTAGCCCCGCGAGAGGGGCGCTACTTTGTCGGGGTGTTCATACCCATTATGAGCTCGGCCGGCGCGTATCGTGAATTATTTATAGCAAGAAAGTATGACGAACGCTCTCGGCTCGGCAGCCAGCTCCCGCAATTTTGCAGTCTCCGCGGACTCGCGATGCGCCGGACACTTAATTCAATTAGAACCTCATCGAAACATGGCTCTCGTAAATAAATTAACACCTCGCCTCGTTCATTTTTAACGCGCGATTATCAGCCCCGACGACGCGACCGAGAGAGCGCCTCGACACACGTCGACGATAACCTATTCGGGGAACAAACATTTCTCGATTGGAAATTTATCCCATGATCCTTATCAAACTGATCCCAATCAGTTATCTGATTTGTATAAGATAATATTGACATGTAACGCACGCGGAGCGAAATTAAACGATAAAAAATTAACAAATGAATTTTTGTATCCGATCAGGAAACATCCGATGAGAAATATCGGTTCATAATTTTTTCATCGGTTTATCTAATAAAATGCCATTATGATCGAAAGTATCCGATTAAATTTAATCGGTTATAAAAATTGATCGTAATTTTGATCGGAAATATTTGTGTGTTAACTTTTTATCGGATAATTTTTCTCAGTGCAGCGCGGCAGTCAGGATCTTATTAATAATTAAGATTATTAATAATTAGCACTCAAAAAGAGAAGTATAATTTTATTCTTTTAATGAAATCTTCTTATATAAGCTGTAGAAGCTTTCTAGAACTGAAAGAAAAATATTCTAACGCTCAAAAAATAAAATTTAGTTGCAAGTTGCTATTTTCTGCAATACCATATTTTATACGAGAAATACAGTTGGGGCCCAGACATAACTCTAATTTTAGTTGGCTCAACTATTTCTTTCTCTCGGTGCAATAATTCACGTCCTGCAGTCACGCGTAGCTTGGTTCGGCATTAAAACTTTTCCGGGTGATTTGATGCTACGTACCTCAGTAGGACTGAGTTCCTTAAACGATTGTTCAACTATGTGCAGCGACACATCGGAATCGTCGGATAAACTGATTGGTGGTGCAACGAGAGGGATGCCGGGTCACTGAGCGCGCTTTAAGCGCAACCTCTATCGGTATCCCAGCCGTTGCAAGTTCGCGTCGCGCGAACATTCCACCCTTCGACGTTGCTCGACCCTTACTCGTGTATTATAATTTCGAATAATTATCTGAGTTATACACCGCGCGACTGTATTGTCGTGGACGCGTGCCGCCCCTCGGATGCCATTAGCGTTATTAATGCAGTTTGTTCGCCGGTACAAATTGCAATTTTGCTGATATCGCGTCGACTCGCAGTTTACATCCATTTCAAATCCATTTATCCCGTGATCACGATAAATTGAATAATTTCGCGCGACTATGTGATACCTATATAAATAGAGCTGAAGAATCATCGCGTTATTATTTAATTAATGCAGCATTTTTCATTGTCGTTTCGTCCGATTAACACACTCGCTCGTTCAAAGTTCCGCAATTCAACTGTGTAATATGTAATTTGTAATTCATCCAGTGTTTTGCACATCGCACAGATAAACGATTACTACGCGTTATCATCTCATTTTGAAATTTCTTTAATGTTAGCATAAAGCTTGTCGATTCAATCTGCTGGTTCCAATATCGGACAGCGGTATGAATTTATTATTGCGCTATACGGAGCGCACGATATACCACCGTGGCTTTATGCAAATTGTCCGTCCTTAGCAATTTCATTTTGCGAATAGCGTCACGATGGCGCGGTATTGAGCGGCAGAAGGAAGGGGGATAGGGTAATGGTGGTAGTTTGTTGTCCCCATAAAGCTTGTTTGCAATCGAGATTAATAGCGTCCAAAGAAATGGAGATGACTCGTATTACGATCACGAATTATGGGACGCACAATTATTCTGCTTTCGCGAATTGAGCGGCAATAAAGGCGCACTCTTTTCTCCCTCGCCCACTCGACGCGTCGCTCATTAATCGCGAGGATACGCCACGTTTATATTCGTCGGCAGCGTCCGGTGACGCGTCGATGTATAGTTGTCCGCTCGGTTTTACTTCGAGTGAGCCGTCATGCAATTTTAGCGTCGATAAATAACGCGAATGATTTTTTACGAATGCGGCGGCGAGAGCGCGACTGCGAGTCCCGAGATTGTTTTGCCGCGGATCCGATCAATGCGCCGGCAGGACGAACTCGACGAAATAAAACCGTTTTCGTGAACGCCCCGAGAGCTCTGATGATATCGTGGGTATTTCCACTTATTAATGAAATTGATTTTCGCAAAAACGCCCACATGGCGGGTGTTTTTCATAGTAAAAAAATTTTGTGTTAAATTTACATATTTCACATATAGCAGGAAGTCATATGTCGATCTAAATTTTTATATTAATATAAGATGGGTATGTAAAAAAACAAAACAAATATTATATCAAAAAATCAACAGAAACATTATATTAAAGCAAATTTTATATAAGATTGGCATATTTAAAATGTCAAGTGTAAAAATGTTATTTTCACACTGATAAAAATGCTTTATTTATCATTTCTTTTCTATTGTGTTATTTTTAAGAGAAGTGTCTGTAATTTTATCTAAATTCTTAATTACTACTTAATTAACCCATTAAGGCCCAAGAGAAAACTGCTAAGGATAGGCTTTCAAAAATCATCTAAATTAGGGCAAAACGTCGAAATTTGTTAAAAAGTGAAAAAAAAATTTGTGTTGGATTTCAAAATTCAAGATGGCGGACCAATATGCCGGCTCGAAAATTTTGACCTATTTGAGTGAAAATCCGTATAGGGGGTTTTGGGTTCGCTGAGTATGAATATGCTCTTATTTTTTCAAAATTCGTAATAGCGGATCCAATATGGCTGCCCAAAAATGTGAAAATTTGACATGGTTTTGTTATTTGACGAAAAATCCAACCAAATTATAAATTACCTTTCGAAGGTGTTTGTTTTGGGGCAAAACATCATACTTTAGCAGACTGTAGAAGAAAAATGGTTTTTCGACTTTAAAAATCAATATGGCAGCCAAAATTTTTTAATTTTGATTTATTTCAATGAAAGTATGTTTTGAAAAATTTTGAAAAAAATAAGTGCATATTCATACTCAGCGAACCCAAAACCCCCCTATACGGATTTTCACTCAAATAGGTCAAAATTCCAAATTTCCGGGCCATTATATTGGTCCGCCATCTTGAATTTTGAAATCCAACACAAATTTTTTTTTCACTTTTTAACAAATTTCGACGTTTTGCTCTAATTTAGATGGTTTTTGAAAGCCTATCCTTAGCGGTTTTCTTTTGGGCCTTAATGGGTTAATATAATTGATATACTTGAAAAAAATGGTAACAATTGTACGCAAGATTTTTTACAGTGTACGAACGCGCTTATTTCGGCGTCGTCGCGATCCCTGATACTCTCAAGAGTATTTATTCTATCCTCAGGACCTTTCTCTTGCAGCGAGGGATGTTGCTCACGAGCGTTTGCAAGCGCTTGCGAGCGATTGCGAACGATTGCGAGCGTTTTATGAGCGCCCATTCGTTCGTTCGTCCTCCGCGAGACTCACCTCCGGCAACTAAAATTTATATAGTTGATAATTGACGCAAAGGGAGAGGAGCTCGTAGACGCTTGTAGACGACGGTGCGAGTGATGATAACGCGATGATAGCGCGTAGACCTCATTTTGCAGTCTCCGGTACAATCCCGGCTCGCTAACACACTTTCCAAGTCCATTGTCTCGACTGGAGGGGCGTTGCTCGTCTCCGACGTGTTAATAATCACTTATTGACTTTCACCATTAAACTTTCCGCTTTGAGCCCGATGACGTAAAATGCCGGCGGTGTTCGGCACGTTATTGCGCGCATCGCTCTCGCGACTCGTTCTCTCGAGAGAATTACACGACGGGCTCCGCGTCGTAAAAAAAAAAGCTAGCGAGTTGTTCCCGCGTGCGTGTGCGTTCGTTCACGACCAATAAAAGTGAGTGTATCATCCGATCCATCATTTTCTCGAATAGTTCATCGGGGACATATAGTCTTGCCTCGTCTCGCTATTCCGCCGATGGCCCTCTCTTTTGCGAGCACACGTATTCCGCATGACGCATTCAGTTGTTCATCGCCGAGGGAAGAGACGCGAAAAGAATATGATTTTATAAAATTAAAGTTTTCCTTGGCAATAATAGCGTCAACTTGTTACGTTAAGTGTCTCGTTAAATGTGTCGTTAAGTGTCGTGACACAATCACACAGATGATCATTATTATATAACGCTATTCTCTAAAACGAACAGGCAAACCGTGGCTGGATTTGGCCACTGGAGTAGGCAGAAGTTGGCAGAATCAATTATTTCTACTGTTCTTGAACGGACTTCAGAACTTGTTAGATTGAATAGAAATACCATCTATCATTTTGTGTAGACTCTGTCACGGTAATTACTGAGATTAATAATATTAATGAAAAAATATCGGTGTGTCAATGCGCACGATGCGGTGGGGCGAGCTCTGTAAAGTTAATTCCTTACAGAGCCGAATGCTCCAGATTCACAGGAAAGACATTTACGAATAGCTATCATTTTCCTGGCTATTCGAACAAATGTGCGTTTTTAATTTCAGCCAATAAATTTTTATCTCACAGCGAATGCATTTTGCCTGCAATAGCCAACTTTTAACAGTGACAGCAAAACGAGCAGCCTTTTGATTAAGTTCGATTGAGATTTACCTGGTAGTACCAGGTCATTTTTTTGCATGTAAATACTCTTTGGGTCTTAAATTACACTTATTCACCGTACCTTTGGCGATTTAATCATCTTCCAAGCTCTTCTGCACAATCAGTAAAGATCTCATGCTGATTGTAAGACCTCGTGCTTTACACTCGTTGGTCTTTTCATCGCGCAATAGATCATAATGAGCACCATTTGTATGTTACAGAAAGCGCGTACGAAGATGAGGAGCAATTCGCCAGGGGCGGCACAACCCCTGGTGAAGGCGTCGTCGGTGAAGAGGACGACAGTCCAGGCGCAGGTGGCACGAACTTCCCTCTGAGAATGGCGGCCGACACAGGGAGGGGCCGAATCACCGTCGGCGGCTTCCTCAGAAGCGCCGGGCAGCACGTGAACTTCGACCCCGAGGCGCCTCCACCGCCGCTTCATGTCGCTCAACAGACAACCGGTCTGCTCGAACGGCCGGAGGTCGACAAAAAAGTCAAGGTATTGGGTAAACATAAAATTCAATGCGTTCGGGCGCGATCGTTTCATCGAACGAGGGCGAACGGGGACGCGAAGTAACGAGAGAGTCCTCAGGAACCGTATTAAACTTTACGTATTCAACGAGTCGGTGTTTAAGACTCTTATACTTCTTCAAGGAGCTCTGCGTCGTTCAGCATCGCTATGGATCTCTTTCATCTCAGACAATCTTTTATTTATGCGTTCGTTCTTCTCTGCCAGCTTTGTCTCTCGGTTTGCACAAAAAAATCGTAACCGTCGCAACACCATCGCCAATTTAAGTCGCGAAAGGAGAGTATGACTTTTAGGCGATTTGGGGACCGCTAGGTGAACGCAAATTTCCTATTTTTTCCCGTAGAATTAAAAAATCGACCTTAAAATTAAGCCAAGTAAAGGGAAAAATAGTTATAGACATTTAAACGTTGATTTTCTTTGAAAATCATGCATTTTCCAACACTGCCATCTTAAATACCTTTGACCTTTTTAGAGATGCTAAATCTCACGTCATAAGAGACTTATTTTCTCAAAATTTGATAATGATATGTGAATATACTCTAAACAGCAGAGAAAAAACAGTCAATCGACCGAAATGGGCAACTAATTCCGAGCTCTGTCTTAAGCGGAGCGATTTGAGCGGCGAAAGCTACTATATACTCGAGAAGAGGCTCCTTATATGCTTTCGTTTATTAATGCCCTGTATAATACTGAAAAAGCTGGATTACAAAATCATTTTTGTACTATTTTGATAGTTAATATTTTTTTAATTGACTGCTGCTTTTTCTCTGCTGCTTAGAGTATATTCTCATATCATTATCAAGTTTTGAGAAAATAAGTCTCCTATGTGTGTGTAACGTGACCTAAAAAGGTCAAAGGTATTTAAGATGGCAGTGTTGGAAAATGCATGATTTTCAGGGAAAATCAACGTTTAAATGTCTATAACTATTTTTCCCTTTACTTGGCATAATTTTAAGGTCGATTTTTTAATTCTACGGGAAAAAATACGAAGGAAAAAATAGGAAATTTGCGTTCACCTAGCGATCCCCAAATCCTAAAAGTCATACCCTCCTTTGATCGGTCCGACGAAAAAGTTGTCGGATTCTCTCTGCCACCGAGAATAAGACGCGCGCATGGCAATGGCCGGTTTCCGCGTCCGCATAAATTCTCCCTTTCTCTGATTGTCTCCCTCCCCTCTGGTCGCCGCGGGAAGCTCCATCGAGTTTGACGAGCCGCAGAAAGAAACAGGAAAGGCGGCAGCCGATAACGACGTTTCGATGCCGATCCAATTTGCGCGTCCCGCTGCCGGCAAACGACGGTCGGAGGAATGCGGGGGAGGAGGGGCGGGAAACTCTTCTTCCGCGTCCTTTATTGACGCGCCGGTAGTTGCCCGATAGTGATTTGCCTCTTCCTCCTGATTTTCCGCCTGTCCTGCGCTGGCAGAAAAACGAAGCGCCGCGCCGGCGGTAGCCGGGTCAAGTTAAATTAAACCCAAATGCTTGTCTCGATAACCGCGTTCAGCGCAGACGACGCGACAGACCGGACGATTATTTTTGCATAGGGGTCGACCATCCGCGAGGATGTGTGATATATGTACAATATTGCGCGCTGGACGCGCGATTGATCGATGGCGGAGACGTTTCAACCTTCGGGTAGGGCCGAGTTCTCTCCGGCCAAATTCCTCGTCCGCTCGCTTGCTCCGCTCCTCCCCAGCTGCATTATTTAGCGACGCGAGAGATCCGCAAATAGCCCGGTCTGATTTCCAAATCGTTTCCCACGCTTTTCTGTATTATTGATAGTGTTGTCTCGCGAGATGCACGGAGGAGAACCGCGTGGGGATATGAAGAACCACGAGGAAAGATCGAAGGGTGTGAGACCGCTTGGGGTGTTTTGTTTGCGGCTTTTTTTATCGTTTTTTCGGTTATTCTGTTTTTTACGAGTATTTTATTTCTGTGCGCGGTCAGTCTGAATTGAGGATCGCGCTCGCGGCGAGACGCGGGGTGGAAATTCCGCGCGCGTTCCCTCGGACGTTCTCTCGTTCTGGCCGACTGACATGTTTGGTTTTATCGTCTCGTAAAACGGCGAATAAGTTGGATTTCCTAAAAGGATAAGAAGAGAGAAGGATACGGAACGCCCAGCAGCAGCTCTTCCGGTTTCCCGTTTCCATGATATCATCTGATTATGGCCCTGTAACGTTCTGTCGTTCCGAGACGCACTCCGCGTATGAGATGAGCGCGAGCGCGCATTTAAGACCCGGCAGGAACCAAGAACGAATCCAGAAGCCATTGGCTCTGGAAACCTCGTGCGGCAAGAGGCGTGAAACACCGCCTTTGGGTGTGTAGGCGTACACATGCGAATACTAATGCATCGCTCGCGCGGACGCAATACCTGGAAGTACAGCTAGGCTACACTTCTCGTGGTACTTGAAATTTGACGCCTTTCACTACACGGACGTTATATTTGTTCAGCACACCATATCTGGTGACTCTCTTGGAGAAGTATCAAAGACACTTGGATTTTGCAACCAAGTCCTTAAAAATTTATAATAAATGAAAATATAGAGACTCGTGTTGCACCTTGGTAATTTAGACGGTGGTTACTTTAACTACGAATGTGAACTGCGATAAATGTTGCGTTAAACTTTAAGTATTTTGTGAATTCTCAGCATTTAAGAGAATAAACTCCTTAATCTATTTGGGGATGAAAAGCTCCAGCCTGCATGGGATGCTTTCATCTTTTAGTGCCTCGTAAATGTCCTCGGGTGAGTTCGCCCAGCAAAACCGCGACCACTGAATTCTGATGTATTACGTGACCGAATTTTGCGCCCGGCTCTCATTAATGAGATTTGCATAACGCGATGGACGCAGTTCGGCTGGAAATTGAAATTCACGATAAAAACGGGAGGCGCTGAAACCGTCGCTTTGCAATTCTTAATACCGTGGCGGTCTAGGAACTTTTAATCGCGTTACGTTAGGCGCGTGGATCCAAGTGCACGACACTCGTTATAAAAACTTGTCGTTGGTGGACTTTCAGTCCCGCCTCGCCCGAACGTTTTTTCGCCCGCTTCGCTTCTGTAGCCAGCGTCGCTGGTACGCGCTCTCATGAATACGCCAACAGACGATACGGCTCGTCGACAATAGATCACTTCGCTACGGAACATAGCAGAAATATATCGCCATAGATCATCATCGGTGGAGCGCAGCCCCGTCGCGAGCGCGAGACGCGAATGCAACGGGCGCGTATAGTAGATACGGACAGTTGGCCGCAGACACAGTGGTTACAGACAGACAGTGCAGACAGTCTATGCGCCGGCGGAGACAGCCGAATGCGGCTAGTAGAGACCGAATATGCAGACAGTAGCATACAGTCACCTAACAGTCACTAAAGACGGTAGATATAGTCTGCGCGGTCCAAAGCGTGCGCGCGAAATAGGTTGACAGAACAATAGCGATACATGTGTTTAATCAGCCAATTGTCGTAACTGATATTAATTGTTAGGATCTCTTTCAAAGTTAAAAGTAAATAGCTCTCTCTCTCTCTCTCTCTCCCTCCCTCCCTCCCTCTCCCCCTCTCCGGGAGGACGACGGCATTCAAAACTATATAACGTCTGTCACGTGCGGTGCAATTAGAGCTTCTCGCGGCGAAGGCCGGTCGCAATTATCACCATTGACTTTTATACCAAAAGGAGAACTTACGCAAGTGACTTCAAAGAGACGAGAAGACGCGATCTTGAGGAAAAACGGGAGGCCGGCCTCTCGAGAGTATCATACGCGATAATCAATAGTCTACGAGCGTGTGCAACTTTGAATTGTCGCTCTCTCGACGGATTCTACACTTTATCTCCTCAACTGTTACCCAACAAAATCTCCCTCGTACATTTCTTACTCGTTGTATACTTCTTTTGCAAAATAATGTTCAATTTATTTGAAGTGGTCTGGCTTTTAATTTATATGTTAGTTGTGCAAAAAAAGGATTATCTTCGTGACTAGATCTTATCCAAATTTATATTCTCTCATAATGCTCACAGCCGTTTAAAGATTGGTGTACTTCTCGAGTCGAAATTTTGATGTTACTTTGACGCTCTTAAGGATAGTTTGCGCCTACTTAAACGGTTTATAGCTTAGCTAAAACCTACTTTGACGATAATGATACTCATTAACTTCTCCTTTGAATCTTTAACTCCACTTTGTCAAAATTTTGACGCTATTTTGACGCTATTTTGACGCTCTTAAAAATAGTTTGAGCCTACTTAGATAATTTACAACCCAGGTGAAACCTATTTTCACGATATTGACACCCATTTCCGAGTCGAAATTTTAACTTTATGTTGAACCTTGAATTCTACACCGCAGTAGGAGCTAAGATAGCAAAGTAGGTTTAATTCTAATGATATAATTTACTCCTACTTTGACCCTGATGATGTGTGAAATATATGCAACAAATAAAATATATATTTTGTTTGCTATTTGACGTTTCTGTTTCGTTATTTATTAAATTTTTTAAATATTTCTATAAAATACATATATTCTATGTAGGAGCTAAAGTTGCAATAGAGATTCGCAACTGAATCTACTTTGCTTTTTAAGATCCTATTATTATACAACCTAATTTGGCGCTAAAGAAAGCGGAAATTTCAGACATCATCAGGGTCAAAGTAGGAGTAAATTATATCATTAGAATTAAACCTAGTTTGCTATCTTAGCTGCTACTGCGGTGTAGAATTCAAGGTTCAACATA